CTAACAACAACAACAGCAATAAAAGAAAACAGACAAGAAAATAATAAAGAAATTGGGAAGAAGTCAATGAAATAGAAAACAAACTTTGGAGAAGATAAGTTTTATAAATGTGGATGCTTAATAGAAAAACACTTGGAAAGATGAGAGAAGAAAAATGACAGAACAAAAGAGAAAAAACAAATATAGACACAATAGAACTTTAAAAAATAAGACAAGAATGTTATGAACATGTAATCTGTTCCTTTCATTGCAACCTTGACAGATTGAATTAATTTCTGGAAAAAATAGAAAATAAGAAGAAATAGGAAACATGAGGAGGCCGAAAATAGTGAAATACACTTGAAATATAATCTACTACTTTTTCCTTCTCCATCCCCAAATTTCAGGCCCAGTGTACTTACAAGCAGGCTCACCAAATCCTTAAGAAACAATCTGTCTTTGTAAGGTATTCCAGAAATTACAAAGGCAGAGAAAGCTGTACAATTTCTTGGAAAAGGCTACTGTAATCTTGATTTCAAAATGAGAAACGACAGCACAAGGAATCAAATTGCCCTTCCATTTTCGGTAACAAACATACATGAGAAAATCCTATACGAAGCATGAGCTAACCACATGTAAGAGTCTACTAAAAATTAACACACCTTGAACAAGCGAAGTTCATCTTACAATGCAAGAATAGTTTGCTTAACATCTGAAAAAAATCGATCAGTGGCATTCACTGCGTTTAATAGACTAAAAGGAATACATTAGGTAATTTTTTCAGTAAGTGTAGAAAAGGCCCTTATTACAACATCAAAAACCTAAATCAAACATAACACTGAGGGAAACATGTGGGATGCATTAGTAATAAGGTTGGGACCCAGCATGTATGCGTGCCGTTACTGCTACTGTTTATAAAATGCCCTCAGTTTAACCAATACATTCAAAGCTAACCCAGTGAAAATTGCAACTAAAATATGGAAGGATAAATGTGTATTAATAGGTGAGCAAACTTCAAGGGGGGAGAAAAGGAGGAGTTGCCAACCGCATAGTAAAACATACTACCAAACCATTCTTTAGTGCTAAATGCAGGTTGATTACAACACAAGAAGAGACCCTGGAGAAACTGATGGGATAAAACGAAACCTCAGGACCAGACACGGGCACAGATGGGAGCTTGAGAAACCGTGCATGTGGTACCAAAAATCAGAGACATCTCTTGCTATGCATGTCCGAGAAGAGTTCCTTCATCTCATCTCAGAAAACTCCATCATAAACAAGGTCAATAAGGAAAAGTCTGTACAATGCGGAGGGGGGAAAGTGGGGACTTTACAGGATCTGCAGAGAGAAGAGATACAGAGAGATTAAAGATCTAGTTGGGAAAGATATTAATAAAACTATAATGATGACAGAAGAGAGGAGGGGAGAATCTCTTTGTAAGTTAGGGATAAGGAAGGACTTCTAAACGATTCTCCAACAGCACAAACCACAGAAATGTTTTTAATAGATGGACTTTCGTTACACCAGAATTATTTGTTTTTCTTGTTTGCGCAAGGAAGGACACCAGTTGGTAGTTGACTGATAGTGATATATTGGGAGATGTTATCTTCAGGGAGCGAGAGAGGCACAGGGTACTCGATATTATTGACTCTTTGCCTGTTATAGACCATACAGATGATGCTAAAAATCAGCAAGACGAGCATCCTAGTAGAAAACTGGGCAAAGGATGTGATGATGAACTAGTCACAGCACGGGAAAGACTGGTAAGAGACGGGGAATTATGTAAAGAGATGCTCAAACGCATTAGTTAAAAGAGAAATTCAAATTAAGAACAGCAACAAGATACTGGTTCATGCTGATTGATTGGCAAAAAAATTAAAAATGAATCTCATCGTTGGAGAGTACCAAGTATTAGGCATACTCAGACAATAGGAACACTTTTGCCTGCTGGTGGGCATGTGAACTGGTTTGAGCCCCTCTACTAGGCAATCTGGCAGTACTTCGTGAAATTAAGAATAAACGCTCCGTAGGACTCAGAACCCCATTCTCCTATCCCAGCAAAATTCTCCCCCAGGTCTGTAAGGGGACAAGGATGAGGATGTTTATCATAGCATTGTTTGAAGTGGGAGAGAGTTAGTGGCAACCTAGGTGTTCATGCTGGGGGAATAGAGAAGTCGAGGACGTGGATGTACTTGGGACACTGTGCGTCATTCAGAGAAGCAAAGAATTAGCTCTATCTTCAGCAGCATGGTTAGGTCCCAGCTGCTGGAAGAAAAAAAGAAAGTATGCAACCTCTAGTACATCTATATATGATGGTAAATCTAGTCTGCACAGACAATTTTACATATTTGACAAGCTCAAGGCTAAAATATCAAACACCTTTGAGAATTTTCCTCTGGGGAAAGGCATCAGGAGTGGCAAATTCAGAAAAAGGAGAATAAAGCAATAGAATAAGAGCAGGGTCACGTAGATTTTGATCTGTGACATGAACTCATGGGTTATGATTAACTCAACACATGAGGTTCAACAAAAAGGGATCGGTAAACTGCCAACAGTTGGGAAATCTTCAACTTTTCAAATCAGTGAAGGTCAGCTCTAAGTTTGCCAAGTACACAACTGCTCATCTTGTGACATGGTGCCACCTCTGTATGGCCATAAGCAATCCCTCAGTGATACACAGACTGACTTTGGGGGTGTGACTTCCAGACTTGAACTTTCTCCTCAATTTCCTTAGCACCCAGATCCACCCCGGTTTCAGCAACACATTGTATTCCCCCCACACTGAATAAGAAGATGGCTTAAAAACCACCTGCAAAATTCATGGCACCAGCAATCTCATATGAAAAGACCTTATGCATAAAAACTTTCCATATTTGCCAGAATCTTTTTTTTTTAAAGAAGGCATTAGCTTTTTGTTTATCTCTGAGGTAGCACACAAATAAGTGTGTTCACCTCCCAGCCCAGACCTGGGACATTCTTATGTTGAGAGAGGATTAAAAAGTCCGTTTTTAGATGGCATGGGATGTAAGGAGAAGAGCTCTCATTTTGCTGCTCCCCAGAACCATGTCACCCTCATTTCAAACAGGAAAGAAAAAGCACACGAGAGCCAGGGCTCTGGTGGGACGTGAAACATAGTTTGAATTTGGGCTATTTACTGAAACTTCTTGGGCCTCAGTTTACCCATGAAGAGGAAATGCATGCATGGGGCACAGGGTTGAGAGGAAGAGGTGAAACCATGCAGCTGAAGAGCTTGGCACAGCGACTAATACACAGTGTGCTTGGAAATGAGCAGCTTTAATTCATTTTATTTACCATTTGCTTTTATTTATTACACGCCTATTAATATTTCAGGAGCTGTCATAGTCATTGCTCTCTTAAATACACCAGCAGCAGCACGGATGAAATGATGTTGGTAAGGCAATCCTAGGGCTGAGGAAAACACTGCATTTTATACCTTCGATACTAGAAAAACCCTGGAGTCAGAGAAAGGATTTCTCCTGGGGATGGAAGTCAAGGTCATCCGTGTTCAGCAACATTGAGCTTCCACCCTACCACAGGAAATACTAATCAGGAATCCAAGGTCTGACATTATACTTATTATGTCTGTATTCTCAGCAGACAGAAGAAAGCCTAGTACATGACAGAGGCTTAAGGAATGCTCAACAACAGCCCTTAAAACCCCCAGTTTAAAGACAAATAAACTGAGACATGGACTTGACCAAAACTACAGATGCTAATCGCCGGCAGAAACAGGATTCCTCCACTTGTTTAGGATCAAAAATCTAACGATTTTTTTTTTCTTTTTTTGGCAGATACTTGGTCATTTGATCAAAGAATATTGGGAGGAGGGGGGTGGATTTCTAGAAACCTCTGTTATTGGCCTGTTTTCTCACAGCCCACTGACCTCTCCTGGGAAGATATTAAGCAGGTGCCTGAGGCCTTGACGCCCCTGGTTTTTCACATCCTTTGGGAACCTCTGAACTTCCCGCAGCTCTTTTGTATTTTGTTTTACTTGCTGGCCACTTGAGCTTCACCTCGGTTTCCTCATCTGGAAAAAAGCAGTTGAGGATTGCTTTCTGCCTACTTGAAGAAGACCCCTCCCCAACACCCACCAGCTCACTTAGCTCTGCCTACACTTATTTATTTTCTGTCTGTTTACAGGAAAGGCAGCAAGGCAGGGGAGCAGAGTCCTCAGTTTTATTCACTGCTGTTTCTCCAATGCCTGGAACACCACCTGGCCCCCAGTACGGGTCCTCCACCAAGATTTGAGGTCAAATTGATGTGGACATGCTTTAAAACAGTATCTTCCCCTTGCTGAGTGTTCAAATCCGTGGCAAGAACCGTCCTAAATTTCAAGACACTTCTTCATGCCCGCTCCTATTGCTGTCATAAAATATTACATCAAGGCAGCTCCCCCACCCTCTTCTCTGAGCTCCCAGGAGTGATGTAAACAGCTGGAGAACAGGAGACTGGACTTAAGCCCAGGTTGCTCTTATCTTTGCTCTCCAGCTACAGTGCACTGGGTTCACAGTGTCATCTGAGTCTTCTAAAGCCAAGACATATCAAGGCAGTTTGCTTAGAGGTTCATAGAAGGAACAAAAACAAATAAACAAAACCCCCCACAACACCCTATTCTTTTTGAATTAGGATCCTGACTCCGTTTCAAGGGGCACGGATTGTTTTTATCATTGTTACCAAGTTTATGCCAATTTCAGGGAACCCGCTTCCTGGGCTTCTCAGAACCCCCAAGTGTCAAACTTGGCTCATCGGCAAGGCCGGGGTGGCCCTCAGCTCCCTGCGGTCATCCAGGGCCAGCAGCCAAGTCAGGCCTCCCGCAGCCTCCACTCCCTCCCTCGAGCCCTCCCCTCCGGGGCCAGCGGTCCAGGCAGGTGACCCGGAGCGGGAGGAGGGCTGCGCGCCCAACTGCGTCAGGATGACGCCCACCGGGGCGTTCCTGTGGGGGACACACCGCAGGGGACACCCCTTGGAATCTTTCCTCCCCTCCCTACTGCCAAGTTAAAACCCTCAACCCCGCGGGCTGTTTGCAAACCTAACAGCGGCTGACTCCTGGGGCTAGAGACCTCCGTGTAGCGCTAGAGACCTCCCTCCCGCCCAGCCAGCATGACAGCTGTGGTCTTGGAGAACAGATTGGTGGGCAGGAAGCTCTCTGACAGTGGACAGGTGAGCCAGGGCGGGCCTCAGTTGATCAGGGAGGGGAGTTGGGCTCTCCGTGGGGAAAGCGGTCTGAGAAAGGCTGATGTTACTTAGTTTCCTAAGCTCACCAAGGCGTCTGAATTCATTCGAAAAGGATAAGGAGACTGTCTAGACGGTAAGACGTGACCGCAACAGTTATTTCCAAGTGGGAGAACATCAGTCCTGTGTGGCTTTCAGAAGAAAGAGCATCTCTTTAGGGACTGAGCGTCAGGCCTCCAGAGGGCCACCAACCAGCTGTGTGTCTTTGGGCAAGTCGCTGTCCCTCTCTGTTGCCTGCTTTCTCATCTACACACTCAAGGAGCTGCTCCTTAGTGCTCTAGGGTGGGGAATGGAGGTCATTCTAGATCTTTCCCGTGATGTTTACAAAGGGCTCTGGGCCAGGGATTGTAAAGGTGATATTGTGAGAACTGGATGCTCCTTTCACTCTGGGAAGAGTCAGACAGAGACTCAGACCTGAGCAGGGAGAAACTAAGCAGAGAGGAAAATGAACAAGAGTCCGTGGCCTGGGTGTGGGATGTGAAGGCATCACAAACGTGACCTGGGGACAATGCCCAGGCTGTAAGCCATTCCCTGGGATCTGCTGGCGTTCTCTGAAAGTGAGTAAAATGCAGAATCCACTTTTAGTTTGATTTACATATCGACAAGAAATCACATTCCTGGATTCGAGATTCAGACATAAAGCCCAGACGTGGGAGGGAAATTGAGACCACAGTCCCCGGTCATCTGTAGGATTAGGGAGAACAATAATCTATACTGAGTGGGGACGCTGGAGAGAAGAGGAAAGTGGATGTCGAAGTTGATATAACTGGACAGACTGTAGCCCTTCTCCTGCCTTTCTTTGGATCCAGAGACAGAGGCTTCTTACGGAAACGGTGTGTGGTGCTTGGGTGAGAAGGCGGAGAATACTCAAACTGCCACTACCAATAACTAGTGAGGAGGAGGGTCTTGGGCAAGCCCTGGCACCGTCACTGCACCAGAAGCAGGGCAGGTCACTCTGCAGAGCTTCAGGTCTATTCATTTGGAAAATGGGAATAAAGGTACTCATGTCCTGAGTGTGGACAATGAAAGCAAATAGTGGCTGGACTGCTCTCAGCACAGTCCGGGAGGAGAGGAATATGCAGATGTACTGGTCTGGCTAGAATGGATTTGTGTGCTTAAAAAAACTGCATCTTGCGTGATTGCATTAATGTACACAGCTACGATTTAATAAAAAAAAACTAAAACAATAACCACAGCATCTTGAACACTGGTGGGAAGGATGATCAGCGCGTCAGGCACTGAGGATAGCAGAGCCTGTTCATGGCAAGTCTGCTCCACGTGAAGTCAGGAATCCTGGGTCCTGGCCTGGGGTTTAACATATTAAGGATGTCACTTAATTGAGGGGAGGAGGATGAGTTTGTTGTAAAATTAGGGTGGAGGATGTTGGACTAGATTGGTTTTTCAGATTAATGTGAATTCTTATATCTCTGAGAGTCTGCAAAAGAGACAAAGTGTATGCCTCCCTAACGATCCATCCCTGATACACAGAACGCACTGGGTGTGATTCTCCTACAGTGCAGACAGTGGGAAGGAACCACCATTTGATAAGCGCACACCATATTTCAAGTGCTTAATCCATGCAAAAAGCATGCCTTTCCTAGGGGAGGGGCTTGTCACATTCATTCCCCCAACAAAGACTTACTGAGCACCTCTTGTGTGCCAGACACAGCAGAGTTTCTGTTCTGCTGAAACACATCATCTAGTGCAGGGGACAGACAATAAACAATTAGCAAAATGAACCGCCAATTTCCTATAGATAAATTCTGTAAAGAAAATAGAGCCTGGTAATGGGACAGAGGATGAGAGGAACTCAGAAATCGTAGCTATGAACAGTGAAGCTGGTGTGCAGACCTAGATCCTGGCTCCTGCAGCTGTGTACCTGTCTCTATGCTCACACTTCCTCCTCTGGATAAATGCTGAGTACAGAGATACACTGTGCCCCTAGCAGGAGGTCTGCCTCTTGTTCCCAACAGTCTCACACTGCAGGGGGGTGTGTGTGCACATGTATGTGTACTCACACATCTCAATACACACCTCTCACCATAACCCCCCAAAGCACTAAGATGGAAAGTTAGTACCCCCAGAATATCTTGGCCAAAGTATATTTGAACACTGCCCTTTTACAAAGACAACAAATATATATGCCATCCACACCCAAAGAGCCTATATGCCCATTGTTTAATGTACTGCTCAATGATCAAAATTCCTTCCTTCTTTTTTGCTAGAAAAGATCTTTCTTCCTGCCCCATTTCTGCCAAATAGTTTCTGAGCTACTTTTCTCTGTCTTTTACCCTCCTATGTTGTCGTGTAAGTCAACTCACATGTCTGTCGAAAACCAATAAGAATGTATTCTGGAAGAAATTTTCTCAAGAGCCCAGGCGGCTGGATTAACACAACAATGTAGGAATCCGGAATCTAAATTTACACACACACACACATCATTTCACAAACTTCCACGGTATTTCTTTTTTAAAGTGTCGCGTGCTTTGGAAAGTTATTGTCCCAGTTGAGTGTCCCTGGGGGACAGAATGGACTGACTGTGGAGTTGTCGGGTCTGTTCAAGTCCAGACTCCACCACTCATTAGCTAGGTGCTCTTGGACGAGCCACTTAATTTTGCTCAGGCTACCTCTTCTTTTGCAGACTAATAGCATCTACTTCATGTGAAGACTAAATGGGTTGCAGGTAAACCCTTAGAATAGTGCTGGTTGCTGCCAATGATAATATTAAATTAACTGTGAAAAGTACCTAGTATGGCTCCTGAAGTCAGTGGAAGACCCTAGTGTTTATACTATTAGCAACAAAGAGTAGTGCCTGATCATAGTAAATATGAATTTGCAGATACATTTAGGAAAAGTTATAAAAATTAGGCTGTATATTTATCAGTGGCTTCAAAATTTGGGGTGGTTAAGAATCATCTGGGATGGTTTCCCAGTTTTAGGTACATGCCATTATTGTTGAATACACATAGAATTTTACATAGTATTTTAAACCTTAGGTAAATATTTTGGCGAACTCTGGAAGGCCGACCCTAATCTTATCTTAGTTTGTTGTCACGTGAAGTAGTAAGCATCCTTTTCTATTTAGCTTAAGACACCCAGCTTCTGGGATTTGTGTGCTTTTATGTGTTTTGTGATCATTTTTCAGCAATTAGATATCACAGGTTCTGACATATGGGAATAAGTTAATCCTTCCTGACCTCTTTGCCAAAGACCAACAGGTCCTTCTTGCTTACTTAAACTACGTCTATCATTTTTATATACTTCTCTTAATAGTCTACTTAATATTCTGTCTAAACTTATCTTTTTCTTTATTTCATCATCTGAATACTAATACTAATACTTTTGACAAAAGCATATTATTATAATGATTTTCCAGAGGAGGAAATTAAGAAGGGTAAATGATCTGCCCACAATGGCTTAGCAGAAAAATAAGAGAGAGAAAATTCCCACCAGAATGTGCTCAAAATGAACACATTGTATTTGTAGTGATTTCTACCCTGTACTCCTCAGTGCTTTCCTGGCACCTTCTAAGTACCACGTCATACTGTTGACCCAGTTGCATCACTGCTCACTCATTTTCCTTACATTATCCACTTCTGTACAGGATATATGTGGTTCACTGTATTCCAAGGCTTAACTAGAAAAAAAAGAGCTCACGCATGCCTCACCCTTGGAGGTTTAACGGGAATAAATTGCTAAACTGCAGAAAAGATTTTAACCAAATGCATCTTATCTTATAGGAAACAAGCTATATTGAGGAAAACTCCAATCAAAGTGGTGCCATATCACTGATCTTCTCACTCAAAGAAGAAGTTGGTGCACTGGCTAAAGTCTTGCGCTTATTTGAGGCAAGTGCTTCCTTCATGTTTGTCTTGGATGATGGCGGATCAAACAGCCATGTTATTGTCTAGTTAGACGCATTGAAAAGAGCATAGGATCTGGAGTTGGAAGACTTGATTTTCAGTTCAGGCTCTTACATTAACCAACTGTGGGTCTTGGGTGAAGTCGCTCCAGCTTCAGTTTCTTCATTTGTAATATGGTGCTGGTAAGGAAACTGTATCAGTTTCAACAGGGATTTTGTGATGAAACCATGTATTTTGTGAAATGCTTAGACACATGTGGCATATCACCATAAAGATTGGACAAAAAGAAAATGAAAGAACCACTAATTCTTTCATCCTCTAAACTCGTGCTGATGGTCTTCTATGTCTAGGCATCAGGTAAGAAATAAGACACCACCCCTTTCTTCAAGCAGCTTAACCCCAAACTACGTCCTAGAAAATAGCTAATGTTCTTCAAGACATTGGTAACTTGTCTTGCTATTAAAGAGGTTTCATGGTAAATACATTTAGAAAACTTGGGATCATATTATTTTATCGGATTTCTTTGTTGTAGGAGTTTTTTTCTATTTTTTTTTATTAAGTCATATACACATAGATCATGAATACGTTTATGCATATGTGGGGTACAATGTGTTGATTTTTTTAATACAATCTGACATGGTTACATCAACCCAATCAACATAGCTTTTGCCTCATTTACTGGATTATTGTGTTAAGTTCCCAGTGGGGGAGAGTGGCAGCAGAGAAACTCCTGTCCCTTGGTCACGATTCTGGCCAGAGGCAGAGGGAGGGAGGCTGGATGGGCCCAGAGTACAGGAAGCTGGGGAAAAGCTCTCTAATATTCCTGCTAAGGGGCAGGGGACAGAAGGTGGGGTTGCATGTGAACTGAGGCTCCAAGTATCCACCAATGCTTCATTGTCCCATTGGTCTTCGCTTACCAAACACAAATTCAAAAATACATTATTCAGAATTGCAAGAGGGCTACAAAGAGTTTTGACCCCAAATGTGATCCTTGTGGAATGGCACTGATTACACCTCCTAGAAGCTGGCCTTCCTTGAATGAATCACCATCTTCTCAGTATTCTTAAATATCTTTTTACTTTTAACTTGAGCTCACATTTGCCTTGTTCAATGTATGCATTTCTGTCTGGCCCTGAGGATGGTTTCTCTGGGAAGGGAACCTTGTCCCAGCCATCTTTATGCTCCCCATTAGACCCAGAATTTTACATATATTGGGTATTCAAATAAGAATGAAACTGAACTCAAATAGGAGCAAAGGAGATTAGAATCCTTTTCCTCTTCTGTCCTGGATTTTAAGAAGGAATATTTTTGAATCCATTAATTTTTAACCTGTGTTCTTTAATAAAATTAATCTAGTGATTGAACACATAAATAAATGAAGAAAAGACAGATCTCTCATGTAAAAGAATTCCAAGCAATTTAAGTAGATTCTCCATCCTCAAAGAGGAAGAACATAACTCCAAGTCCTTTGCAAAGAGTGTGGTGTGAAAGGGGAAGGGGGGAAGAGTAACTTTACCCTGGAGAAATATGACAAACACACCCCAGCCAGGTGACCAAAATACACATCCTCACAGAAGGAGCCAAATATTAAAACAAACCTTTCTTAATAGTAAAGAAAGAAAAATCAATGCCATCGGTAATGAGTCATATTGATGGTGTGTACCCTTGACAAGATGTGACGGAAATGGCATTTTGCCTCTCTGGTCATCCTCCCCCAAAATTCATAACCCCAGTCCAACAAGTAGAAAAAAAAATTCAGGCAAATCTTAATCAAAGGGCATTATACAAAATGCCTGACTGTACTGCTTATGACTCCCAAGATTTTTAAAAATAAATACAAACATTATAAATGAGTTCTTTACACTCTCAACTGAACCTGAAAGAATAATTATAAAACATACGGTGATCTCAAAATTTCTCAAATGTATTTGATCATGGGACCTTCTTTAGGGAAGACCTGTTGATATCTTCTAGGCATTAAACTGTTACAGAGTTGTGAGAGGAACTATCAGTGGAAACTAGGACTGGGGCATTGATGGGTAGAGCGGCACTGGGGTCAGGAGTATCTTTTCTGGAGGCAAATGGGACTCAGAACCCAGTTGCACCATCTACGAGCTGGATGGTCTCAGGAAAGTCATTTCACCTCTTAGTAACTTGGTTTCTTCATTTTTTAAATTAAGGTAACAATAAGCCTATCTTACCTATAATAAGCCTTTATTAATTTTCTCAGGGCTTCTGAGAAAATTAAATGAATTAGTACATGCAGAGTACTTAGAACAGTGTCTGGCACAGAGTAAGAGCTCAATACGTGTTTGCTATCACCATGCGCCATATTCATAGAGGATCATGGGTTGGCCATATGAAAAATAGTTAAAGAACTAGGCATATTTGGTGTGAAGAGGGAAGACGCTGGGGAGGGGGGACATGATAATTTTATTTAAATATCAAAAAGAAACCTATAGAAGAGGAATTCTGCTTATCTTCTACTCATAAAACTTCAGAGCCAAAAGGACAAGAATCAGAAGGTTCAGGGCCCATATTTCAAGTCACTTACAGGCAATATCTTAACTGTAGGACTGAGAGGTGTTGATTTCAAACATTACTACTGACAGCAAAAGACAGGTCAAAATCAAAGCAAAAACTACGGTATATGTAAGCTTATCTTTCCTTGATAGAGAAGAAAAAATCCACCCAGAGATTGGCAATGGGGGTGGGGGACACTTGGTATGGGAGAATCACCCATGCCCTGTGAATTCCTTGCTAAGTTCTGCTCCAGTAACTCTGCGCTTAATGAACAGGAAAATCCCCCCATGTAACCAGGGCACTTGAACCAAATAATGCTAAATGCTCAGAATAATAAATGAAAGACTAGCAGTAATGTGAACCTAGACCATCTCCCTCTCCCCCTGCAACCTGATTCCATGTGTTGGGAGCTTTCTGGGCCTCTCACTTCCAGTATTACATACCAAGCTCCTCAAAGAAAAAGTGAGGTCTGTGGTGTGGGGGGTAGACTTTGCCCAGCTTGGTCAGGTTGGATGCACTGCCTGAAAGTTCCTCGCCTGCACAACGAGACTGCCCCATCAAGGGACCATGTTGCCTGTCAGTAATGGGCTTATGGCCTCGTGACCTCAGCTGGTAACTACAGCAGAATGCAAGAAAATAGGGTTGATGTTTATAAAAGCAGTACAGAGGTACTGTAGTTTCTGCACATTGGATGGGTGGGTCAGGGAGATGAAGTAGAGGTTTTAGTGAATTTGGAGCCAAATAAATAATTGAGAAAATACCCAACCCCCTGGTGACCAACCTGTAAATATCCCACTGCCTTCAGTAGATTCCTCCAACTCTTAGTTCTTTATGCATTGATTTAGATATTTTCTGCAGCCTCTACTAGCGCATGTCCCATGCCGTCTTAGGAAAATAGGCTCCTATGAGTGTTTACTGCGAGCTTTAGCTTAGTAATGGGCTACTGAAGGAGAAGCAGGCTCCTGGGATGCGGCAAAGAAGAAATGTCCCTGCCTCCACCAACTCTCCATTATTCACCTTACGACCAGCAAACTCACAGAAATGCAGAGCCCTGAGTTCCAAGGCCATTTCCAAGGTACTTGGGTCTACTCGCTTAGCATCAATGAGTTGATAAAGACACAGAGGCTCAGACTACGCAAGTTTCCCGAGGCTACACACTTAGAGCTAAAAATTGCTTTGAAGTTCGCCTTCTGTCTTCACAGTAGGCTGGTCTTTTGGAAACAAATGGAAAAGGTACAGTCATATTAGTCATACCCACTTCTCGTGCCCTGCTCCTGCCAAGAGGATCATCAGCTATTCACACTTTCTCATTTATGCATTTCATGCATATTGTTGAATACCTATAGTTGTCAGACCCTATATAGATATGGAATACTGGAATACTGGAGTGAACCAAGCAGCCATCTTCTCTCCCTACGTAGCTAATAGTCTCTACATAAATAGGTGATTGCAATGACGAATACAATGAGCTCTTTGAGTAGCTCAAGGTTTCACGAGCCTCCTAACCCGGACTGGGGAAGGGGAAGATTCTTGGAGACATAATGCTTAAGCTGAAAGCTGAAGGGTTTGCCCAGGAGAAAGCCAAGGAAGGGAGAAGTAAATTTTAGAATGAAGAACAACTGACTTAAGGTGAGAGACAGCAAACAAGTGTTCAGGTCACAGAATCCTCAAATTCTTTACCATCTGACAACCTCAGCATTCCTGGGGGCAGAGAGGATGTGTAGGCAGCTATGTGATATTTATTACCCTGAGGTTTGGACTTTAAAGAACTGTGTTTGATCCCTGGGCCTGGCGGGCAGGACTGGATCAAGGGTGAATGACGAGGACTGCTGTTTCCCCCTGGCCTTGGGTCCGCGAAGCCAAGAGAGCCAAATGTTTACCAGGAACATTTCTTCCTCAATCAGAATGAGAAGTTTGAGAACCACTGGAGAAAAAAAATATTCTTGCAACCCAGATGACATTTTCATTTTATTTAGAACCAAAAATATTGATAATCATATAAAGAACACCCATGTAACTCACGCCTTCCTTAACAGATAAAACATTGAAGCCATCACTAAAGTTTACTCCCGCCTTAGACTTCTCTTCTCAGAAGTGATTACTATATTCGATATATATTATTCCCAGGCATCTTTTAAAACTTTCATTATATACTGATATCCATTAGTTCTATGAAGTATATGGCACAGTTTTGTAAGCTTTTAATCTTCATACTAGTAAAATCATGTTGCGATGGTCCTTCTGTGGTTTTCTGTTTGGGGAAGAAGGTGGTGAATATTGTTTTTGAGATTTTGTTCATACTGACACACACACGTATGTATATACATTTCTTGCTTATCCATTTCCCCCTCTGTTCCATTGTGTGTTATACTGTATCCACTTTCTGTTGATGGACATTTGGCTTGTTTCTATCGTTTGTACAAACAATTTGCACTGACCATTTTGTACAGATCTGATGACTC